GAGGGCCGGGCGGCTCTCGGGGGCGCAGAAGACCACGATGGGGTAGTCCTGGCCGCCGCTCACCCCTCCGCCGCCCCCCACTCCTCCGCCGCCCCCCGCTCCCGCCTCTACGTGGGCTGGGCCCAGAACAAGCATGCGCTCTTGGATGTGACGCCGTCGGCGATCCAACGCCTCAACTACGTGCAGTACTACCCCATCGTGGTCTTCTGCGCCCCCGAGAGCCGCCCGGCCCTCAAGGCCTTGCGCCAGTGGCTGGCGCCCGCGTCCCGCCGCAGCTCGCGCCGCCTCTACGCGCAAGCCCGGGAGCTGCGGAAGCACAGCGAGCACCTCTTCACCGGTGGGCTGGGAGCCGGGGAGCGGGAGCAGGCAATGGGGCCGGGCCGAGGCTCCCCGCCGCGCTGATGCCCCCCCCTCCCCGCAGCCACCATCCCCCTGCATGGCACGAGTGACGGCTGGTACCAGGAGCTCAAGGCCATCATCCGTGAGCAGCAGACCCGGCCCATCTGGACCGCGGAGGACCAGGTGCGGGTCAGGGGTGGGGGCTTGTCCGCGGTCCAGCTTTGACCTGAGGTCAGGGTTGTGACCTGGTTTGGGACTGAGATCGAAGGCTGGTGTCTGGGGTCGGGGATCTGGTCTGAGATCAGGGAGGGCCTGGCTGGTTGGGGGGTGTCTTGGCTCAGCCTGGGCGCCCCGCCCCACAGCTGGACGACTCCTCGGACGACAACCTGGAGCTCCCGCACGGAGTCCTGGCGGACAGCTCTGCGGATCTGAGCTGTGACAGCCGGGTCAACAGCGACTATGAGACAGACGGCGAGGGCTACACAGACGGCGAGGGCGGGCCCCACACGGACGTCGACGAGGGTCCCCCAGCGCCAGCTCTGGCCCGGTCCTCGGAGCCCGTTCTGGCGGATGAGCCCCAGAGCCTGCAGGATCATGGGAGAGTCTCCAGTCCCCAAAGGGCCCAGGTGAGCAAGGACATGGGGGTGGCCCTGGCAGGGGTCTTGGGATGGGGCTGAGACACACCCCAGGGTGGGGGAGGGCCTGTTTCCCCCCAGGATATTAACAAACAGAAGTGTCTCAGACCCAGACCTAGGCTATTTGAACCCCTGAGTCACTGAACAACTTTAAACAAATGTTTTAACTGCAGTGTTTCCTTATCTGGGATCCAATGGAACAGATCAATCTCCACATCACAAGGCAGTGGTTTAAACTGAATGCGCTTACCCAAGTCCCAGCCCATACGACTTGGGTGTTTACCAATAACAAATACTTACATATAGTATTCTTTGTGAGGCTGCCTCAGCTCCCAAAGTGCCTTTCTGTAAATCCGACAAAGGTACCCCTTCCTCCAGGCCCTCTTTAATTAAATGTGAAAATGTACACATCTACGATGTTCTCCCAGGAGTTGAGCAGTACCCGACCTGCTCAACTGTCCACGGAAGCTTGCTTATGGGGCAGGCACTATCCTGAGCACGTTCCATACATGATTATGAACTCCTAGCAGCCCTCTGAGGAATTCTGGAGACAGGAAACCCAACTCCTCCTGTGCTGACAGGCTAGGGGATCTCAGCCAAGGTCTTCCCCTACCCCCATCCCAGCATATCTTCTCACTAAAAATTAGAGAGGAGTTGCCGGCCTTGTGAGCGAGGAGAGAGCCTGTGGGCAGCACTGCTTGGGCCAAGGTGGGGAGCTGGGAGGGGGGCGCTCTTCATCCCAATTTACCTCACTTTGGGGGAAGTGCTGATCTCCTTTCTTCCCCTCCTAGGTGGACAGCCACCCCCACCACGGTCAAAGGCGACAGGACAGTGTGCGGTAAGAGCTCCTGTACTCCAGACTGGAGCCCCTCAGCCCTTTTCCTGGGACACAGGCTCAGGGGATGAAGGGACCTGGAACCAAGCTGTTTTCATGTGCTCCCAGCCTAGTGGGTGAGATGAATGCAGAAGGGCCAGTCCCACCCCAGGTAGTCAGGGCCCATTTCCTGAGAGGAGTGGGAAAGCTTCCAGAAGGACAAGACATGAGATGGGGCTTTGAAGGATACGTAGGGGTTCGTTAATGAGGGCTGACCCCTAAATCCACAGTCCTGCTCATCTCTGTCCACACACGCTGTGCCTAGCAGAGAGTCAGTCTCAGGTAAGGGTAGTTCAAGCCTCCCCACCGCCCACAGCCTTTCCTGTTTCCTGATTCCCCAGGACATATGGGCGGGAAGCCCTGAAGAAAAAGTTTACACGAGCTCGAGATATGGAATCCTCTGATGAGGACGGCTATGACTGGGGTCCGGCCACTGACCTGTGACCCCTTCCCAGGTGGCCGGGCTGACCCATACTCTCTTCTCCACCCGCCCCCCTCCCCCCGCCCCGGCCCAAACCCAGAGCTGGGACTCAATTTCCCATTCAGAACCTAGAACCCCGCCTCCTTCTGCCAGTCTTTTTAATAAATAGAGTATTTTCACAACACTGGTGTCTGGTGATCTCTGGGAAGGACACGGAGTGAGAGTTGGTCCTGTCTTTCCTCTCTCGACCCCCCAGACCTCAAGCCAAGATTTTGCCCATTTTTTTAAGCATTTAATGTTTTCCGTCAGAAAACAACACGGCACTGAGAAGCCTTGGAGGCCCCACAGACGGGCTCTCAGGGCTCCAGGGGCTAAGGCACGGCGGCGGGAGGGAGGGGACGCTGGGGGCTGCTCACAGGTACACGGGCCGCTCCTGGCCGGTGAGCAGGCGGTAGGTGGCCGCTGGCATCGTTTTGATGTGGACCTGGGGGCAGGGAAGGCAGAGAGGAGGTGGCGGCTTGTGGGGGGCGGCGCGCTGGCAGGAGGCCCCTGCCCCCCGACCCGCCCACTGCCTGCACACCTCCGTGTGGGCCTCGGTGAGCAGCTCGATGATGCGGGCGTGTGGCGTGGCTACCACGCTGTGCCCATTGATCTCGATGATGCGGTGTCCCACGCGCACGCCCCCGCGCTCCGCGATCCCGCCCCGGAGCAGACTGCAGATCTGCAGGGCATGGGGACAGAGGTGCCACAGTGGCTCAGGAGGCCGCACTCGGGGCCACCAGCCCCCACTCCCCCCACAACCTCCCCGTCCCGGGGCCAGGGTCTCACGATGCCGTCCTCCACGCAGAAGCCCAGCTGCTCGCGGGCGTGCGGCCGGCGGATGATGGCGGTGGTGACCGGCGGGCAGTGGATGATGCTGAGGGTCACCGAGGTCTGTGACTTCACCTCCTGCACGGGACGGGGGTTGTTGGCCTAGTGGGGCCTCCAGGGTGCTGTCGGGCCTCTCGGCACACTGCAGCACCCCAGGGCCTCAGTTTACCCACTCATGAAATGGAACTTCGGAGTCAAGGCTCTGGATTCTAGAAGACCCCTCAAGAAGCAGTGAAGAACACAGACTCAAGCCGGGAGGCCTTGGGGCCAAGCGGTGACCTCTCCCCTCCCCATCTCTTCCTATGGTTCTAGAACATCCTCTAGAATATCTGTGGTCTCAGTTTCCCTGTCAAGAGCACGGTTCTAATAGCATCTGCCATGCCCGCTCAGTAACATGCTGGACGGTGTGGGAAGTCCTCCCCAGCTCCGGGCCTCAGTTTCCCCAGCCAGCAACAAGGGTCAAGGCTCAAGAACACACTGGCAGCCTTGTGGCGGAAAGGAAGGCTCCTGGCCCTGCAGCTAGACTGCCTGAGTTCAAATCCTGCCCCCACACCATCAAGGTCCCCCTGGACCAGCACGCTCCCTCTTGGAGGCTCCGTCTCCCCGAGCACACTGGGGTGGGTGGGACCTCACACTCTGCCTTGCCCCTTCCAGATGGCGCCAGGGAAGGACACCCAGACACCCCACGGCGGGGACTCACGCGGACAGCGGCCTGGCAGGCGGCCAGGGGCAGCCCCACCAGGCTGGTCCCGTTGATGGCAGTGAGGCGGTCCCCAATGCTGAGGGCCCCCGAGCGCTCGGCGGGGCCCCCGTGCAGCAGGTTGGCGATGACAGCCGTGGGCAGCAGGGAGCCCCAGCCCGACTCCACCAGGGCCACACCCAGGCCCTCGCCCCGGCGCTTCTCGATGCACACCTGGGAGGGGGACACGGGGTGGGGGAGGCATGAGGGTTGCCCCGGGGGGGGGGGCGGGGGGCCACCATCCCGCGTGCTCACCTCCCTGCAGTTCTCACTGTTGGAGAAGTGGTCGAGGTCCCCGTTGTGGAGGTGGCCGGGGCCCGCGGCCTGGCTCTGCTGGGCGCCCACCTGGCTGGGGTCAAGGCCGTTTTCCCAGAGGAACTGGCTGTAGGCCACGGAGAAGGCCTGGCCGATGGCCTGAGCAATGAGCTGGGCCTGCACGCCGATGGGCGACATCTCTTGGGGGGTGTCCCACCCACCTCCTTCAGGTCCCCTAAACCCTCTGGCGTCCTCAGGGCCGAGCCCTCCCACCCCCACGGTGGGGGCATGATTCCCAGGCGGCAGTGTGGTCCCCTGTGGCTTCTGGGGACTGTGAAACCAGCCACTGTCTTGGGGAATCTCTGGGGGGAGGGGAGGGGAGGGAGAAGGGCCTGGAGCGGGGAAGGTTCAGGGGTCGGCCGGTCTCCAGGGCTTCCAGGAAGGGCCAGGGGCTTTGGGGGTGGGGAGGGAGACAGCGGCCAGCACTGGGGACCAGTGGGAAGACACTGTGGTGACAGCATGGCCAGGTGGGCTCTGGAAGAGGGTGGGGCCAGCCCGAGTCACCCCCCCACTGACCCCCCCACCAGAACGCCCGGAGCGGGGCTGCTCACATCTTCAGAGTGGAAGACGTGGCAAAGCATCTTGTAGAGCTTGTGGCTGGGGGCCTGGGACGCCGGCCGCCGGGCTAGCCGCCGCCGCGCCATGAGCACCAGCACGTTGCCGATGTCAGCGATGTAGGAGATGGTCTGCAGGGCGTGGTCCATCATGGCCTCCTGGAGTGGGGGGGACACTGGGACTGGGCGGGCTGTGCGGGCCCTCGGCAGGGCCCCCATACCCCGGCCCCTGGCCCCGGCCCCGGCCCCATACCTGGGAGTCGGCCGTCAGAACCTTGACCCTCTTGGTGGACACGAAGAGGTCCACTTCCGTCATGGGCTGGGTCTCCCCGTCGGGGGCCTGTGGGTGGGGGGGTGGGTGGGAGGTGGAGGTCTGCGAAGACCCAGCCTCTGCCGTGCTGGGCTCCGAGGGCCTCAGGGGACCTGGCCAGCAGCCCATCCGCCCACCCGCCCACTGGCCCCGGGGAAGCCCACCTGACCAGCCCTGGCTTCACCTTGACACGGTCCATCGCCTCCCGGGCCTGGGCCATGCGTGTGCTGGGGGGTGGGTTCCGCTCAGACACCAGCTGGGTGGAGCCCAAGTATTTGGCCCCAAATATGACACCGTCTAGGAGGTCTTCGTGGTCACAGGGACCAGGGACTGAAGGCAACAGTGGAGGACGGTCAGCCCGTGCGAGCTCCCAACCACGCCTGTCCAACCCCACGGGCGCTGCCCTGGGTCTCAGCAGCCTCAGAGGTCTGGAAGCACAGAGTTCTACCCCGTGGTTTAGCCCCCCTGAACCACACGCATCCGCCCACCGTTCCAGAACCATCCCATCAGCAGGAGCCAGACATCTAGAGACCTCTTGTCCGTCTACAGCCAGCTCGGACTGTCCATGGGGCAGTTTCAGGAGCCCTCCCGGAGTCTAGAACTGAGCCCAGATCCCCGAAGTACTCCAGCACTCAGGCATCTCCACCCTGGCTTTCTAGAATTCTGTCATCCGGCTAGAATCAGGCAGTCCCATTTCTAAAACCAGCAATCTTGGGATGCCTGGGTGACTCAGTGGTTAAAGCCTCTGCCTTCAGCTCAGGTCATGATCTCAGGGTCCTGGGATCGAGTCCCGCATCGGACTCTCCGCTCAGCAGGGAGCCTGCCTCCTCCTCCTGTCTCTCTCTGCCTGCCTCTCTGCCTACTTGTGATCTGTCAAATAAATAAAAAAAAAATCTTAAAAAAATAAAAAATAAAAAATAAAACCAGCAATCTTATAAAACCACAGACAACTGCTCTCGACGGTTCAGGAGTCCCCTGAATCAATCTGGAGCCAGTCAGCTTTGCCCACTGTTCGAGAACTCTCCCTTCTCAGCCCAGGACTGCAGGCAACTCCACGGTTCTAGAACTCCCCAATCAGAGCAGGAAGAGACAACTTCCCCCATGTCTAAAATTCTCACACTATCCAGAACCCCAAATGGCTCCTCGTGGTTCCAGAGCTTTCCCACAGGTCCCACCCCACAGGATTCTGCAGGGTCTAGAAATCAGCACCCCTCCAGAACCACATTTTCCCACTCCATGACTCTGTAACTTCCTAATCATGATGGCATTGGCTAGCTCTTCCTATGGTTCTAGAACATCCTCAAATGGTCGAAACACCTCGGCTGTCCCCAGCGAGCCTAAGAATGATCTGAGTAGTCCAGAAAAGAGCAACTCTGCACGTAGTTCTAGAATTCCACCAACCTAGCCCAGCACTGCACGGGAACTCTGCAGTCAAGGTTCCGTGATTCCTGAGCAATCCAGAACCAGATAGTTCTAGAATGTCCTAACAAGGAGCGGTTGCTTTTCTGGTTTAGAACTGCGGGTGAAGGCCCCAGCTCTGGACGACCCAAAGTGAGTTTTATCTAAAGCCCCTTCTGCCCACTATCTTTTGGGATCTAAGCATTCTGGAAAAACAAACAGGTCCACTCAGGGTTTCTAGAACCACACCACCTAGTATGCTAGCAGCCACACACGTTTAGGGATTATGCACCTCAGAAATGCAAACTGGATTTTGGAAATTTAGTATGAAAAAAAAGGTAAAATAATTGTTAAGATGTTGATTATACAAAGAAATGACACCTTAGCTCTCCTGAGTTATTTAAAATGTTATTACTTGGGGCGCCTGGGTGGCTCAGTGGGTTAAGCCGCTGCCTTCGGCTCAGGTCATGATCTCAGGGTCCTGGGATCGAGCCCTGCATCGGGCTCTCTGCTCAGCAGGGAGCCTGCTTCCTCCTCTCGCTCTGCCTGCCTCTCTGCCTGCTTGTGATCTCTGTCAAATAAATAAATAAAATCTTTAAAAAAAAAAAATGTTATTACTTTTTCTGTTTTTTTTTTTTTTAAGTTTTTGCTTTTTATTTAAGCAATCTCTACACCCAACACGGGGATCGAAATCATGACTGTGAGATCAAGAGTCGCACGTCCTCTGACCAAGCCAGTCAGGTGCCCCGTGTTTATTTTTGTTAAAGCAGATAACTAGGAAATTCAAAGTCACACATAGGGGCACCTAGCTGGCTCAGCTGGTTGAACATCTGACTC